TCGTTGCAAATGGATTTTCAAAAGAAATGAGGGTTTGTTTCCTAGTGAGCCTCCAAGATTTAAGGCAAGGTTAGTAGCAAAATGTTTCAGTCAGATTCCTGGCATTGATTATAATGATGTGTTCTCTCCAGTTGTAAAGTATAGTTTAATTCGTATATTTTTCGGTATTGTTGCTATGCGAGATCTTGAGCTTGAGCAGTTAGATGTAAAGACTGCATTTCTACGTGGAGAGCTCGATGAGGAGATATACATGGACCAGCCAGAAGGATTCATAGTACCTGGTAAGGAGGATCATGTTTGCAAAGTAAAGAGGTTATTATATGGTTTGAAACAGTCTCCTCGTCAATGGCATAAAATGTTTGATTCTTTTATGATGTCACATGGTTTTAAGAGGTCTGAATTTGATAGCTGTGTGTACATTAAATTTGTTGATGGATCACTTATATATTTGCTGTTATATGTTGATGATATGTTGATTGTTGCCAAAAGCCAGAAAGAAATCACTACGTTGAAGAAAATGTTGAGTAGTGAGTTTGAGATGAAAGATCTTGGTGCTGCTAAGAAGATTCTAGGTATGGAAATTACAAGAGACAGAAATTCTGATTTGTTACTTCTTAGTCAGTAAAGTTACATTAAGAAAGTTTTTCATCGTTTCAACATGCATGATGCAAAGTCTGTTAGTACTCCTATTGCTCCTCATTTCAAATTATCAGCTTTACAATGTGCTAGTACGAATGAGAATTTTGAGTATATGTCAAGAGTTTCATATTCTAGTGCTGTTGGTTCTTTGATGTATGTCATGGTTTGCTCTCGTCCTGATTTATCATATGCTATGAGTTTGGTTAGTAGATACATGGCTAATCCTGGTAAAGAACATTGGAAGGCTGTTCAGTGGATTTTCAGGTACATTCGTGGCACAACAAATGTTCGTTTGAAGTTTGACAGGACTGATAAGGGACTTACTGGCTACGTGGATTCAGATTTTGCTGCTGATTTGGATAAGAGGAGATCTCTTACAGGTTATGTGTTCACTATTGGTGGTTGTGCTATGAGTTGGAGGGCAACATTACAGCCCATTGTTGCCCTGTCTACCACTGAAGCAGAATACATGCCTATTGCTGAAGCATGTAAAAAATTAGTATGTAAAGAATCAGTTTGGTTGAAAGGTTTGTTTGCTGAGCTTTGTGAAGATGATTCTTGCATTAATTTATTTTGTGACAGTTATATGTCTCACTAAAGATCAGATGTTCCATGAGAGAACGAAGCACATTGATGTCAAATACCATTATGTTCGCGATGTGGTCGCGCAAGGTAAGCAGAAGGTATGCAAGATAAGCACACATGATAATCCTGCTGATATGTTGACAAAGCCAGTTCCTGTTGCTAAGTTTGAGCTTTGCTCAAGCTTAGTTGGTATAATTGTTTTGCCCAAGAGGCTATTTGGCACAAGAAGTTGAAGGTTTGTTTTATGCTACAAGAAAAAATTTGTCTAAAGGTGGAGTTTGTTGAGTTGTGATCCAGATTCAGTTATGTACAAGATAAAGGCTAATTTCTACCGGAGCGAAGCGAGGTCGGTCGCCGAGAGGCTTGGGCCGAAGCGAATCGTTACCTATTAAGGTTTTCCATCTATATATACTTTATGTAAACTGTCGTCTTGGGATAAGAAAAGTTGTAAATCCCCGACGTTTGTAACCTCACCCGATAGTGAAGATTTACTGGACGGTGCCCGTGATTTTTCCCTTCCACCTTGGAAGGGTTTTCACATTAAAATCTCGTGTCCCCTGTACTTGATCTAGTGTTCTTTGTCATTTAGGCCTTGTTTAGATCCCATCAAAATTCCAAGTTTTTTCACTTTCTCTCCATCACATCAATTTTTGGACACATGCATGAAGCATTAAATATAGGTAAAAAAAATAATTAATTGCACAGTTTAGTTGTAAATCACGAGACGAATCTTTTGAGCCTAGTTAGTCCATGATCGGATAAAGTTTGTCAAATACAAACGAAATATGCTACGGTGTCCGGATTGCAAAAATTTGCAATCTAAACGAGGCCTTATATTGCCTATCATTTATAACGTAAACAAGTTCAGTCCGTGGCAAGGAAACCCGGGAAACACATGCTGACATGCTGTGGTTGGTTGGTGCACCATCACGATTCAGATTCACGAAGGCTGCGTGCATTTGCAGTTTCCAGTATAGCATTTTGCAGAAATCTGCTTGTTCAGCTTCCCTGAGAGGTACTGTGCCAGACAAAACCACCAATGTATGCCTATCATAGATTAGTGGAAACGTCAATCAAATGGTGCTATTTATCCTGGAATCATTTTTCATCATGTGGTTCTAGTATCGAAAGTCAAAACAGCTTTCAGTGGTTCCCAAGTTTCTGTCACTTAATCTGCAGTCAAGCAACATCGAGTCCAATGAGCTGGACACGTAAATCTCTGACCAGTTTGAGAGCACATTGATTTCTGAAAAGAACGAGACTTGCTTTCGAAAGTTCCTCAGCGTGATCTTAGGACTGCAGTACCACATATACAAGCGCAACACTGAACGTTGGCTATAGCAGTCACAGTCTTTGGCTCGTCTGGTAAGCTTCCTTTCATTTGTAAATTGTAATGCAAACGCAAGTGACAAGGACAGTCATTTCCGTGTGGTGCACAGCATATGGCAGCCTATTTGGTTCCGAAAGACGACAGGAGTCAAACTGCCAAAGACTACTGAACTGAACGCAAACCAAGCTAATCCGGGTTACCTGCGTCTCGCTAATCTGATGCTAGTGATACTAGTACTAACAAACGGAAGTCCTACCTCCTCCAGAAGGCACTAATCATTGAGGTAAAGATCACAGATTCACAGGGCCTTTGCACATGAATCTCCAACGAAGTGATTAGAATACGCACTGGCAGTGGCAGCTCTGCAGTTTTTTCGAATTAAAGTATATAGTAAGATTGATTGGCCTCGGAACACGAGCTAGCAACGGCAGCAAATTGTTCTGCAAAGTCGCATTTGTTTAATCCTTTCTCCTGCTAAAGCGAATTGCTGCTAAGCACTGCCCAGTCGCACAGAGGACAAGAGAAACGGATTTGCTAATGCCCCGTGCCACGCCGCCGGCCGGCCGGCCGCGGAGGCGGAGCACTCTCTGTCCCCGCAACCCAGACTCCCCAGCTTTCCCTTGGCATCCGCCGATAACTTTTACTGCTCCGCCTCTCGTGAGCCGTAGTACCACACTACCACCCCACTGCCTTTTTCTTAACTGTTGGTGGCATGGCATGGCATGGCAAAGCTCGCGCCGTAGGCTTTTCTACGGAGAAGAGGCCAGGGGCAAAGGCTTGTGGTGCACTGGTGCTCAGGGCACGGCGCGGTACCCTCTCTGACGGCCGTGGTCCATGGCTGCGCTGGGAGCCTGTGCCCGTTCAGGAGCGACGAGCAATGGTTTACTGGTCTTCGCGACTTCGCCTTTGCCTTTGCCACTCCCCTAATCTGTTGACCGTGGCGGTACTGGATGTACGTGGTATACTAGTATCGCACTGTCACCGGGGTAGTGGGGTGGGTGAGGAATGAGGAGTACGCATGGAGGCAAGAGAGAGTCTTGACCGGTGAGTCGGTGACGCCGTTGGGTAAGGAGGGGAGGCGGAGGTTGGAGGGGGCCGAACGGCCACAGTTCTCGCTGCAGTCGCAGACTCGCAGTTCTGGTTATCACTGAGGGAGCGAGGGTTCATCATTTTTGAGATGGAACGCCGAACGCGATGAATGTGCAGGCTTCCGTATGAGAAGATTTGTAGGCCGAAAATAGCGAGGCCCTGTTTGCATGGGCCAAATTCCCAGGCCCATTTATGGAGTGATCGCTTCCCCAGTTGATCGTATAGATCCCCAAAATGGTTCAGTTCAGCCATGGTGATTCATCTTCCCTGCCATCCCGTTTAGAGGGTGGTTAGGAGCTCCCAACAGCTAGAAATCTGAGAAATAGCTTCACTCCTATTTTTTAGCCAAATACCTCAAATTTCACCACCTCTAGATCCACCAAAACACAGATCTAGATCCTCGATCCATGAAATCTAAGGAGCTCCTCAAGAGGTGCTATGAAAACACACAGCTCCAACTCCGACTCCGGCAGCGGCCGGAAGAGCCGTACCAAACACTTTAGAAAGAAGAGCCATTTTCTGGTAAATAGCAAAGAAGCCGGAGTATTTTTGGGTCTAGAGCCGGAGCTGCAAAAAAATGACTCAAGTGCCCAGCAAAATTGTTCAGCTAGTAGTAGTATCTGTGAAGGTTTTTGCCTCTACATTCTAAGGATAAGGAGTAGCGCACATAACACAAGTCTCTATGTGTCAATGGTGTCTTTCCATGCAGAACAATATAGGACCATACGGATGATATAATGGCTACTGCCCTGTCTGATGTCCAGGATATTGCCTTCAACAATCAACCATATGTCCACGAAAGCAGTCAGGTACACGTACCCATGGAATAGGATTACCAGATCATTTGACAGAATATGCTTGGATAAACTGATGGGAATCCATTGAACACGACAGTTGATCTTTTATTTCCATTGGCTACACCAAAATCTGAATCTGCAGCACAACTGAGGAAAGCAGAAATATCGACACATTATAAACATTAGGAAAAGGATAGCTGTTTGTACCTAATACCATTGCTATATTTTTAATCTAGTTGGAAGCATTAAAAAAAGCATGAGCCTTATGCAAGCGAATCAGACAAATCAAGTAACAGAACTCTGAAGAACACATCTTGTGGTAAAATTACCATAATGTCATGAAAAGACTGCTGATGGCAATTCTAGTCAATCTAAATAGTAAAGTAGATCTGAAGATATCCATGCCCATGTTTTAGAAGTATGATAGCAAGGGTTCTAGGATGTCAAATCAAAATAGAGAGTGTGTTACCAGTTCAGTTTGCTCTAGTCTGCTTTGATTAAACAGACACAAAAATACCAAATGGAAGCTCTGATCTATATATATTCAAGGTCTCCAGAAGCTACATCGTCCAAGACGCTCCTGTCGAGGCCTGAGCTGCTGCTTCTTCCAATTCATTAAGGTGTATACTTTCCACCTCTTCGAGTTCATCGGTGTCAGGGTCTCCTTTTGTCGCCTCTTCAGTTTTATTATCGGGGTAAACTCTCATTCTGATGCGCTTGCCTTTGATGTATCGATATTCCCATTTTGGTGGTGGGTATTTCTTTTTTAACTTTTCATATTTGTCCATCATCTCTAACTTCTGAAATACATCACCTAGCATCCTGATAATAGAACCATCAGGTCTTACGCCTAGTTCCTCCATATCAGCAAAAATCTGGAGAATTTTCGAGTAAGACATCATAAGAATGCTTGGATAATTATCCCCAACTAATGTTTCTGTTGAAGCCAAACCCCAACTTTTAGTTAAAACAGTATGCAAACTGGTGAAATAAGGGGGAAAAACATATTTCATTTCCTACCTCAAACATCTTATCATATGCTCCCGCACTGTAATAGAAAGAAATCATTCTCATGAAAAATGTACGAGGCAAACCCTCCATATATCGTGAGAATACCATTCCAAATAACTCTTCTGCTTCCTCAATCCGGTCGTCCTCGATCAAAGCATTCAACAAGGTGTAATAGCTTCCCATTGTCTTCCCTTGACCTTTGTTGAACATCCATTTAATGACCTAGATCATGTGGTCATTGTTTCAGTTCAGAATAAGGGTTTGTTATTATAAAGGAACGACTAAATCCTAGGTGCAGTATTGGTAAAGGAAAAACGGTTATCTTTCTTAATTGAAAGGCAGAGCTCCTGCCATTATCTTCCAAACAAAAACGGTTTACTATTAAAAGAGAGCAGCTAATTCTATTCTTCTAGAACTGGGAGCAGCTAACTGACTTGTCAAAGGATGAGATTACTAGTAACATTCTCCAAGAAAGGGGACTAACAGCTAATACAGTATGAAACCTTAACTAGAAATTCTGACAATTGAAAGGAATATGTAGGAAAATAATTTAGACCAAATAGTTCACATTAAAACTAGGAACTTCCATTTAACACCTGAATTATTCGTTTCCATTCTTTTTCGCCCTCAAGTTTCTGCAGTGCCTTCTTTACTACGATCAAGGGAAACTCCAGTTCCCAAGCAACAAATGAGTCAAGTGCTCCATAAACTTCCTCCTTTACATTAGACAGACCTTTAATCTGCACAAGATGAAAAAAGTTGACATATAGTTTCAGACACTCAATTCGACAATGTGTCCATAAGAAAATGAGTATTTTGCAAAAGGCATCCTACACAAACTATATGTTTCCCCTTATTTAATATACATTGATGCAGGTAATGTGATTGAAATTTGCTCAAAGGTGGTTAATGAAACCAGGCAGACTTATATAGTTGTACAAATACAGAAAACTGAAAGTTTGCTGCAAAAGCTGAACAGAGAAACGTTGAAGAACCTCACACATTCGACAAGATTCTGTGACTTGGAAATAGTCCCAATTTTCTTACGAGTTTTCCACACACGGGGATATCTCGGTCTTGGACCCCTGGCACCACAAACCTGTTGCACAATCGCCATTAATATAGGAATCATGATAGGCCGCTCCGCCAGTACTAAACCACCAAATGCATACCGCAAGCGGCACAGTAGATTAAGCTCACCACTACAGAATTAAACTTTATCTGATGTCGAACAGGCCCCTCCTTTACTGAAGCAAATGCAGGAGACCAGTAGCTCCTCAAGCAAAACATTCTATAATCTGTATTAGCGAAAAACTAAAACAAAATCCACGAAAGCAGATAAGAGCGTCGCCTTCACGAGATGAAGAGAACTCTCATCTTCACGCCGTACCTTGATAGAGTATCAGAAGAGCAGTAGGACTGGAGGAGAAAAAGGGAAAGGATGGGCTGCCGCTGCCGCCGCCCGCCGCCGAGTGGAGTAACCGACTGCCGGGACCGTCGCTGCTTCTGGCCGGAGTCGGGAGGGGAGCGACCGCAACCGCACAGCGGCAGCTTGGAATTGTAATCCCGATTTATCTCTCCATTTTATTTTTTTCTTTCAGGGAAATCACATTGCTACTGTATATGTTCGGGCTTGGGCTTTGTATTCAATGGGCCGTGGGCTGTTCTAGTAAATGAGCCTTATGTAAGTTGCCCGTTCATCTTCTTCATCTTGCCAAAGAAGCTTTCCTCCAAAACTCGAGAAAGGACGGAGAAGGCTTCCTCCACGGCTGCCCATGGCCGCCGCCCGGACCTAGGCTAGGGATTGCTGCCTCCCGAGTCCCGACCTACCAAGGGGGAAAGGGAGAGGGGGCACTGTGGCGGCAGGAAATAATTGGAAGGCGAGGGCTGAGGGCGAGCGCAGAGTCCGGTGGTTATCGTTTTTTTTTTCCGGAGGGGAGAGTATTGGGGATGCCGGTGGCGAGGCCAGAGCCGCAGGAGCCCCGGGTGATCGCCCATGTCGACATGGACTGCTTCTACGTTCAAGGTACGTGACTATCCTTGCCTCTCCCTCCCCCGCCCCGCCCATGACCAACAGTTCTTCGACCGAAAAGTGGCCATTTGCTTTACTGCAGTCGAGCAGCGGAGAAACCTGGTGCTTAGGGGCCAGCCGACCGCAGTGGTGCAGTACAACGACTGGAAAGGCGGCGGCTTGATTGCCGTTAGCTACGAGGCTCGTGGGTTTGGTGTGAAGAGGTGAGTGCCTTCCTTTCTCGGTCGACAGTCCCGTCTACTTGGAATTTGTTTATGTCGTAACTTCGGACGAATTGGTGGTGCTTATTCAGGTCCATGCGCGGAGATGAGGCCAAGAGGGTCTGTCCTGGTATTAATCTGGTTCAGGTCCCGGTGGCGCGAGGCAAGGCCGACCTTAATCTTTACAGAAGTGCTGGTTCTGAGGTAGGTTCACCATCGTAGACTAATTTACTACTACTACTAGTTAACAGCACATGACTTACATGGCATATTATACAATAATAAGTCTATATTTTGCACCTGAACTTTCAGGTTGTTGCAATCCTTGCAAGCAAAGGGAAGTGCGAGCGGGCATCCATTGACGAAGTTTATCTTGACCTTACTGATGCAGCAAAGGAAATGCTCTTACAAGCTCCCCCAGATTCACCAGAGGAGATTTTTATGGAGGCGGCAAAGTCAAATATCTTGGGCCTTCTGTCTGTAAGAATGTTTTCACAATTAGTTTTGTTGCTGCTCTGCTATTTGATGTGACATGTAGGTCATGATATATTCAGGATGCCGGAGAGAAGGAAAAGAACGTGAGGGCATGGCTTTGTAGATCAGACGCTGATTACCAGGACAAGTTACTGGCATGTGGAGCTATAATTGTTGCACAGTTACGAGTCAGAGTTCTGGAGGAAACCCAATTCACATGCTCTGCTGGGATTGCTCACAATAAGGTTTATAATGAGTTGTAATAGTGAGTAGATGCTTCTTTCTGTTGACAAAAATGTTCGGTAGTTCATGGTTATTATCGTGGTAGTTCTGCTATGCTCAGGAAATCAGCTGAGGTTCCTGTATTTCTGTTTTCTGCATTCCTTGATTCCTTTCTCTTGCTATCGTAGTCTTCCACTCATTGTTCTTATACTGCGCAGATGTTAGCTAAACTTGTCAGTGGAATGCACAAGCCTGCTCAACAAACAGTTGTCCCTTCTTCATCAGTTCAAGACTTTCTAGCATCACTACCTGTGAAGAAGATGTAATGATCTAACTCTAACAAGACGCCTCTGTCCTTTCTGGGTTCTTGTTTTTCCTGGGAAAAGTTTTTGAGGCTTTGTATCACTATTAGATCACAGAACATTGTGCTTTATTTTTTTTGAACGAAAGAACATTGTGCTTTATTGAAACTATGCATAGTGTGAAACTGAATGGTGAGAATAACCATATTGTTCAGGAAACAGCTTGGTGGTAAGCTTGGAAGTTCCTTGCAGGATGATCTTGGGGTTGAGACCATTGGTGATCTCCTAAGTTTTACAGAGGATAAGTTACAAGAGCAGTATGGAGTAAATACAAGGTAATTATGTTCTTGCTTTATTAATGTGTTATTATTTGGTTTACCTTGATTAATGTAGATATAAGTTTATAGTGAAGATATGATATCACATTTTAAAGAGTTAATAGTTGTTATTCCCTTTGGCTTTTAGCAGATGATGTAACTTTTAAGTTGATAGTTGCTTCGTTGTATCAAACATGTTTCTTTGCATATATTTTTTTAATATCATGCCAAATAGGCAAATACTCACTAACTCATCTTGTAAGCGCTTGACTTCATGCAGAACATGGTTATGGAAGACTGCTAGGGGCATTAGTGGGGAAGAAGTTGAGGATCGTCTTTTACCCAAGAGTCATGGGTGTGGAAAGACATTTCCTGGCCCAAGAGCACTGAAGAACAGCGCTTCTGTAAGAATGCTTACTCTGTCATTTTCGTTGTTCTTTAACAAAATCTTTAGTTATTAGCTACTCAAGAAACAGAGTATCCAGAAGTTATAATGATAGAGGGTAGCATTTGTTATGAACCGCAGTTCATTTGGGGGATAACTATTGCCAGGACGATAGCCTGACAAAGTTGGCTTGGAGGGAGACTAGAGTGTTTGGGGTGAATTCAACTGATTGTTCTTCATTCATTTTCTCCTTGATACAACACCTCCCTTATAGATAGAGGATTCCTAACCACCTAAGGAAGGCCCAATCAAATCCTAACGAATCATATCCAATCCTATGTCTAATTGACCCAAATCTAACCCTATCAATTGATCCAATACTCGAATTAATCCTATGGCCCCTGCCCCCCTAGCTGACACCCATAACAGCATTTCAATTGGCACCCAATGTATGAAGAACCATATGCTTAGTTGCATACTTATTTGACTTGGGTGAAATAGCTTGAAAATATGTAACTCTCAAGTTTCAATATGATGTCTTGTGACCTGTATGGTGACATTGTTGATCTGGAGTCTGGAGCCCCTCCATGTCAGTGAGACAATCAGCGGTTACTAAAGAAAACTTGGCAGTTCCATGTACAAACTTTTGTGGTCCATGTCAGCCACATTTGTAGAGCTTACACCAGACTAACAGTCATTGTACTTGACTACTGCTGCTCTTATCAAATATTAGTTTGTTGAAATGAGCAGCATGTACAATACAGAATTATGTTGGTGCTTTATGATGCTGCACTTTGATGGCCTTAAGGGATGCTAGATGCAGTACCCTTCCTAACTTAAGTTTTGTGCTGCCTGAGTCAGATGCCACATGCATGTATTTGAGAAAAAAAAGGATCCCACATGCATGGTTCAAAAAACAAAATATCTCATTCCTGTGTAAGAATCTAGGAAAATTTTTGTTAAGGTTCAGTTAATTCAGTCAGTCTATATGTTGTAGGTCAAAGGCTGGCTGGATCAACTCTGTGAAGAATTAAGTGAACGGATCCAATCTGACCTGAACCAGAACAAGAGAATTGCTCAAACACTAACTCTTCATGCCAGAGCATCTAAGGTATTTTGTGTAATGTACTAATATCTTTCCTTTTAGGGTACTGTAATTTCTGATAAAATGGTCAGCCATGTATCTAGTCCAATTTCACACTGCACACCATAACCTTCCTGATTTTTCTACTTTTACTGCAGGAAAATGAACGTGATTCAACGAAGAAATTTCCTTCCAAATCCTGTCCTTTGCGCTATGGGACTGGAAAAATTCAGGAGGATGCAATGAAGCTATTTGAATCTGGTCTTCACGAGTTTTTAGAATCTCAGAACACTGGATGGAGCATAACATCTCTTTCTGTTACTGCAAGCAAAATATTTGATATACCTAGTGTATGCTTATAAAAGCTTTCTTAGCAATTGATGATTGGATACATTATCTTGTTTAAATGTTGAGACACCTTAGAGAAACAAGGAAACATGGCAACTTTTTTTTTTCTCGAACACGCAGGAGAACAGTATATTATTTTGATCTCTTGATAAATAAAGTCTCATTCCTTCAAACCAAACATATATTGAGATTACATTATGTAGAAGTTCCACCAGCTTTTATAACACTCCAACATACTAATGAAATTACAATCACTTCAAGCAAAATGAAAACAAAAATTCCTATTAAATCTGTGCTAACATGTCTGCAACCTTATTATCTGTCATTTCTGAACTGTGGTGTCTTATTCTCATGTTTGCAAATGCTACACCACATAAAATTACAAATGCATTTTGCTAATTTTTATTTGTTATTTTAATTTCATTTATCAGGGAACAAGCTCAATCTTGAGATACATTAAAGGTCCTAGTTCTGCTGCACCTCCGGCTATACCTGATTCTTTGTCTGTACCTGAGGATCCATCTCTTGGTGATCTTCCTTAGTTCAAGTGTGCCTATTTTTTGCAGTTTCTGTTTGTTTTTACTTTAGGATCTTCCAATATTTTTCTGTAGACAACGATGTATTTGTGAAGCCAATTCATGAAGAACAATGCCAGCCATCTATGTCTGAGAAAGAAGATAATAATGCACATTCTGCGTCTGCGATTTCAGCTAAACAACGCCAAGCAAATGAAGAAAAAAGAATATCAAAGAAGTTGCCTGAAGTTAAGGTCAGTTCTTTTCTCCTCGGTGGACACCATCAAACTGTTTTCTTGTTGGTTATATTCTTAAGCTGTTGGTGAATGAAGATGTTGTTTTCCTTTTGTTTCCGTTTGCTTGCTTATGGGCAACAAAGTACCATCAAATGTTTAATATTCAAGTTGGAATATCCCCAAAGTTAGTGCTTGGCATTGCCTTTTGTATCAAAAATGATTAAATCAAGGACTTTTCTTTCTGAGTCAGCTGTATTTTCTTTTTCTCCAATATATAGCCTCTCATGGTTACCATCTTGTACTTGCTCTTGCTTTTTTCAATGAAATTAGCACTGAATTGTGCTGTTTGTTAAAAAAAAAACACTTCCAAGTTTGACATGTACTCAACTTGTTCACTTCAATTTTTATTTTATTTTGTCTCATTTCTTTTGTGTTGGTAGTATATGACTTACAAACTAATTTTTAATTTCCATGTCATTAACTCATCCAAGATGTTTCATGACGATAGGGAACTTCCTCGATATTGAAGTTTCTTTCATGGGGTCAATCTACCTTCCATGAGAAAAGAAAATCTGACGGACTAATTTGCAGCCATCAAGGTTTGGTGGACTGTATGTAAGATGCAATGATGCAGATATTGATTTAACCACTGCCACATTTCACATTTCTTCGTTTGCTGAATATTCGTGATGACATTAGGTCCAGGGAGTTATTCGGAAGCAAACAAAGCTGAAGAACACAATGTGCCTGCGGAGGCTGGGGATAGGAACAACACCAGCAGTTGTGCTGAACCCTCTGGCAGCAACACATGGATGTTCAACATTCAAGACATTGATCCAGCGGTGGTGGAGGAACTGCCACCAGAGATCCAAAGAGAAATACAGGGGTGGGTCCGTCCATCGAAGCACCCGAGCACGAAGAGACGTGGTTCTACAATTTCTTCGTACTTCCCACCCACGAGGTCTTAGATACGTTGATATGCTAGTTCTTGATTGCTTATTCTTTACTCTTCTCCACACAACACAACGGGCCTAGCTCTGTGTATTGTAATTATAAGATGTGAAGATGTTCAGGTAGCCCCTATATGTGATGAGCAGTTGGATGGGACCTCTGTGAATATTAAGTTTATTTGGGTGAAAGATGGAAACATGAACATTAATGTATGTGCAAATGGGTACTTGAGGTACTAGGATTGCATCTACTTATATTCATGTTGGAAAATTATTGAGTACAGTACTTTGAATCTTAATAACAAATGAATGACAGTGAAATAAACCTTGGAAATGGAACCTGTCTAGTTCCACGGCAGTCGGTCTTTCAGCAAAGCATAGATAAATCAGTGAGATTGAGACGACACATGTCGATCAAATTTGTGCATCTGTGGTACTGTTTGATCGTGAAGAATCATTTGTACTCTTTCTTTCCATTTCATATGCTCGCATCTTTTCTATCACTCTGCCCAGCATGTGCAGATGTAGTAAAATAAACAAAATTAAGCGGGAAGAATTTACAACAACATATGGTAACATTGATCGACCTCTAAATGACACACACACAGCTTCATGCCTTCCGGTCTTTTTCTCTAATCTTCTCCGAGCAACAAGTACATTTTATATGAAGTCTTCATGGAAGAAAATGCAGCTGGCATCATGTTGGCATCATGTTTGCTTGTTAAGAATAACAAATACAAACGTGAGGCAGTGAGGTGAGAGATTGCAATGAGAAGGCCCGACTCAGGCAAGATGAAGGTCATTAGCATATTCAGAGAAAGTTGGGAGGTCCAATGCTTCTCTTGCAATGCTCCTGTCTTCGTCAGTTATACTTAAAGCTTGCAATATAGCATCCTGTCATAACGGTTACATAGAGTCAATATAATCATATCATGATTTGTGAGCTTGCACATAAAGTCAAGCATTGCATGACATATTGGCAAAGGAGATCCATAGCAGAATATGAAATAGAAATGATGCAACTATAATAAGGACGCCACATTGAGCTATGAGAAGCCTAATACATTAAAAAAAAAAAACTATGAGAAGCCTAAAGGGCAGACAAAATGCCCAGGAATGAGCCAATATGGTTGTGCTCGGGAGGAGGAGCCCTTTGGTTATGTTTCTTATTTTCCGGAGTCATCTATTTCCTTGTATCAGAAATAAGTTAATATTCATACATTGTACTCTATATAAGCTATAAGGCATACTATTTGGCAATCCTCTACATGGCATATCTATGTGAACCAGCATGAGTACATGAAAAAAATCAGTGGAGTCAGATTCTTGAGTTATAGCTAAATTTAATAAAAGGTTATTACCGCACTTTGGAGTTTCCGGATGTAACCAATTACAAGCAGCTTCACAGGCTCTGTTTCAATCCTGCCAGAGGAGTCAAGAAAATCTACTTGCTGTAAAAGAAAAACCACAAATCAAATGATTGTCCGAGAAAACTTGGAAACCTTACTATGCATTAATCTGTTAGTAAATATTACTAGACCACGAATGTTCAAAATCTCGTGCCAGAAAAGATACTTATAACTGTAGGGAAATCTTTGGACAGCTGGCCTCCCACATGAAAACAACCACACATATAAGAACAAGAAGTACCAACCATCACTCTTTCGACGGTCTGCTGTGAGAAGTCCCACCCAGTACCTATGATCACCTTGGAGAGTCCATGCACTTTGGACTTGGCCCAACCCAAATAAATTCCTGATATTTGGTCAGGAATACACTCGTAGGTACAGTCATCTGTTTGCAGATAGTCAAAGTAAAAAACGTGTGTGATTTACAGTATTAAAAAACACTAGTATATAAGAGTAGTCAGAAAGTGTTTAACCTGAAATTACCCAATGAAGATTGTTTACAATTTTATCACCTATCCTGGCATTTGAAGGTAAGGGATCAATCGGCAGTACACGTTGAATGCCTATGATAAATGTTACCCATCAGAGTTGAAATAATTCCAGTTTATAAAAGAAAACAAAATCAGTGGTCAATGAAGAGAGTTACGATCTTCAAATGGAGGAAGACCCCATAGCTCAGGATCAAAGTCTAAAAGTGAATAGAGGATGGCATCAGCAATATAATAGTGCTTCCTCTGACTTTGAAGTGATGGTACTGCAACCGCCTTTGCCCCAGAAGCCTTGGCACCCTTGACTCCAACGCTATAAAAAACGACCAAGGAAGCAGAAACTATAACTCAATAGCACATACCAAGTGCATTCTTTTCAATACATCAACATTGGAAGCGTGCAACTTACCACTTTAGTGACATGAAGATTCAACATAGTTGAGAGGGATAGATGAAAGAGTAAATAATATTATTGATTGTTTTGTGAGAGAAGTGCATGGGCATCCTACATATACGTGTAAGAGGTGTATAAAAGGGTCAGGTTTTGAGAAGTCATGAGAATGAAATAAATTTAGAAAAGCAAGTGGGTACCCAATGGGTAGTTCTGGTTCACTGCCTTAATTCATTTTTCCCATTTTCTTGCTTTGAAATCTGGAATAGTTCGTTTGTTTTGGGTTGACCCAAAGTCCAGTGACAAAAAAAAGTGAACTTGTGTCCCTAATCATACACTGTGCCATTTCACATAGAAAATTATTGAATGCTGATGAATACCAAAGGAAGTGATCTTATCAATTATTTGCGTATGAAAAACCTTTGATGCCTTAAGCCCCTAATTTTTGTGATTGGTGAGACTTAACTCAACAGAAGATATAAGGGATCTACTTTAAATATAGCCATCATAGCATACCAGCATCTACTGGAAGTTATATCATTTGGCTACCGATCGGATTTCAATAACATCTAAAAGTGTCCTGATAAGTTATGAATCATGCACAAGGTAACATTTTTTTTCACGAGGGCACAAGATAAGAGCTCGCCCAGAAGAAGTCTTTCCTACACTTACACAGAATCTTCTATGACCAAGCACGACGATGGATTTACACCAAGCCTCTTTGCAGCCTCCAAAAATCTAGAAGAATGCAGGATACCTGATCAGTAATAAACAGTGCTGCATACACAATGCTAAAGATGAGCACTAGTATATAATTGAATGGAAACATCATAACACTTGTGCACTTAAAAGTAGCAATTAGCAACAGATGATTGGTCAACAATGGTAAGGTACCCACATGTCAGGGGAAGGTTTCCCATTAGGGACTTGATCTCCACCAAGAATAACAGAAAAACACTCTCCCCAATCTGGAAAACAATAAAGGATTTTACTAGGATCAAGAAGCTAATGCAATACATAATAAGAAAACGCACCGGATAAAGAAAGATAAGTGTCCTCATTCCTTACTAGTTCAATATTCCTTGTTTTTATTTGTCTGAACCATGCTATAAATCAGGACTTGCAATGTTAAGCTACTTGCATGATCCATGTTGTCAGAAATGGAGCATGGACACTCAGTCAATGAGTAAAGAAAGATACATAACATATTTAACCAAGATAAATCCGTAGAATCACATTGGAAGAATTTCCATCCCGTTCAGTGGTAAGGTATACTGTACTTATTTGCTGCAGAAGCGACAGATCAAAATACATATCTATGGGCTATGCCAATGACAAGATACGGACTGAAGCAAACAGTCAGCCTCCTACCTTCTAGTTTCGGAAGTTTGCGATCAATATTTCTCCTAACGGAGTTAGAAGCAAGCGCGAGTGGCACTCCGTTCTTGTGAAGATGCTTGACAAGCCTCTTCACTCCTGGAAGCGGTTTCGCCTTTTGCCACCTATAGGAGAAAGTAAGCCAGCTCAAGGCGCTTGTAGACTGACAAGAGTTATGTACGTACATGTCAAAACCGAAAAGAAACCTTTTCAGGTAGAGCGGATGCATCGCCTTGGAGTACTCCTCGACCGTGAGCGGCAGCCCGTAGTCTCTGATGATCCCAGTGGTAGACTCCAGATACATCTGGCCCAGCCTCTTCTCCTCTTTCTGCGCATCGGGGACCTTCCCGTATGCCGCCAGGAATTCGTTCAGGACGTCCCTTGTTGCCCTCTCTGCGCCAAGACAACGCATAGCACAGTGCGAATCAATTACAGCACAGCGAAACGGCACACGTGCAAATGTGCATCTAGGTTATCTGATCGGTCCGTACTCCGTACGGAACAGCGCTGGTGGAACGGAGCGGGATGGCGAGGACCGAGGAGGCTGGGTGGATGGATACACGTGCGTACCTGTGTCAAGGAGAGTGCCGTCGAGATCAAAGATCACGGCGGAGACCTGGTGCGCCGCAGCCATGGTCGACGTACGCTAGGCCGGGGAGGGAGGCGAAAACGAGGCGCGGAGTCGATGGGCGGGATGGGGAGGAAGTGGAGAGGCGGCGCGGGGGATTTTAAGTGCGCGAGGAGGAAGAGGCCTGGTGGTCGGGATGGGAATCGGAGGGAGACCCAATTTGCCTAGGGGCCTATGGCCGGGATGCGGTTCTGGCTCTGAATGGGTTGCTGCCGGTGCCGGCTTGCGGCTTGTGGGGTGGAGGCGAACCGGGTGCTGTTGTTCCCGTCCCTGTTGCCCTGTTGGTGTGTGCGACTGGACTCCGCGGCGAGCGGCGAGGCGTGCGCAATCGGCTCAGGTCACCGGCTCACCGCGCGGCGCGTCCGCGCACTGGCCAGCCGCTCCCGCCAGCGCGGTGGTTCTTGCGTTAAGCTCTCGGGTAGTCACGCTAGTCACTAGTCAGGGGCCTCAGCTCTTTCGGCGATGGATTGGATCTAATGTGGCATGCACTTCAAAACATCGTGACGGAGTTTCCCAGGCGTTGGTCAGATCGGGGCTAGGAATTAGTATTTGGTATTGTAGTATTTTGTTTGTATTTGATAATTATTGTTTAATTATGGCCTAACTAGGCTCAAAAGATTCGTCTCGTAATTTACAATCAAACTGTGTAATTAGTTATTTTTTATCTACATTTAATATTTCATGTGTCCAAAGATTTAATATGATGGAGAGAAAACGAAAAAACTTGCACTCTAAACAACGCCCCAGTGAAAATAATTTGTCTGATGAACCTGAAAATGACTGATCGAGACGTATATCAGGAAGAAAGTATAGATTGGGATGCTAGTACAGTTTAGCTGCAACTAAAACATCGGTTTTCTTTCTTCGTGACAAGGTGAGGGGTGAGGTTTTGTGCGCTCACCGAGCGGTTATTGGACGGGCAGAATAAACTATTAGAGCAAGGAATATTACATGATCGTCACGAATCTGAATCACTTCGCTAACAGAGTTGCGTGATAATAAGCCGAATAAGGGCTCGTTCGTTTGGGACAGCGTGACGTCACGATTCATTCCGGCTGATGAAATCTTATACAATTATAAACTAAAGATCCAGCCAGAACTATTTCTGGAGGTCATTCCCTAGAAAGCGAGGCCTAAAGGATAATAACTGTTCCTTTCCGATGAAGTGGTCCTTGTGTCCGCCATTATACTCGTTCATATGGGCCGGTTTTTTTAGGAAAACAAATGGGCCGGCAAATATAAAATGTTCGCAAACGTAAGCGTAAGCATAAGCATATATGGTGATATGCTGCGGCGCGAGGACGCGTCCGAAAGCCCCCGCGCCTGCCTCGCATGCAACTGCTGTCTGCGTACAACTCTGCGCCTACATGTCTCGCATGCAAACTGCTGCGTTTGCAAACCCACTCGTACATGCTTGTGCACCTACGCATGCAGATGTGCACCTTGTGTCTGTGGATGCCCACCTCATGTTTGTTGATGCCCGGTCCGCACGCTGCTGATGTGCATGCAGGTGGGGACCGCTACGCACGCGGGGACCACATCTACATGCGCCCGCTTTCTACGCTTGCTAATGTTGCAACATGAAAGCGTTTCTGCAACATACGTTGAAATAGGTGTAACATTTACAAACATACGTTCGCAACATATGTGTATAGCAACTATAATATCCAAGTAAATACATTTGCAACATAAGTCTGAAACCGATTAAGCATTTTGAATATACGCTTTCAACATATGTCTTAAATATTTGCAACATTGCAACATATGCACATCCAGATGAAAACAGTTGCAACATAGGCCTGAAACAGGTGAAACATTTAGAATATACACTTGCAACATACATGTATAGCTACTGCAACATATGCAATATCCAGGATAAACACATACAACATACGTTTGAAATCAGCTGAAACATTTAGAACATACACTTGCAACATATGTGTATAACTATTGCAACATATGCAACCCTAGATCTACTTTTGCAACATTCAGATAAACACATATGCAACATATATCCGAAACACACCAAACATATAGTTACAACATGTGCTCATCTACTTGCTGTCATCCAATGGAGGTTAGTTGACGTGGTGCGGGGGAGCACAACGTGAGGCACGAGCGGGGACACGAGGCATGAGGCGTGGATGGCGTGAGGCACGGGTGGGGTGCGCAGCACGAGGCGAGAGGCGGGTCTGGTGCGACCGTGCGAGGCGCGAGGTGCAGGGGCGATGGCGCGAGGCGCGGGGCGCACGTGACGCGAGGCGGGTCCGTGTGACCTTGCGAGGCATGATTTTTTTTGAGGAAAGTGTGAGTCGTGAGGTGCAGGGTTGAGCGTGTGATGCGGGACCATCCCGTCCAGACGGACGGACGTCCTGATAGGAGCATTACCGTTTTTTTTCGTCTCCTGTGTTGACGCGATGTTGAAACCTGTTCAGTTGTTGAGAAACAATCTAGATCCGGTTGCCCCATATCTTAGGTCCACTTTGGAATATGAGTTTCTTTCATGTGTTTTCATGTGAAAATAATCCATGAAGTTAATGTATAACTACTGTGGAATTTCATGCGGTATAAAGGGTCCTTAATGATCGAAAGGACCCATGCAAGGGTAATAATAACTTAGGGGGCTGCTCAGCTACACTACTCGTAGTACTACGGGCTACAAGCAGTGCTGTCGAGCAAGTTGTTAACTTGGAGAAAACATGAGGTTAGGTAAGTTAAAGTTGATCCTAACCAACTATTGTCTCGGCAGCTTGCCTATTTTCACCTTTTTCCTCATGGAGGTCATGCTATAGCTTTTTTGTGGGGAGGGAGGTGCTTAACATTTTAAATATCATATGGCAAGAGGGAAGGTGAGTTCATAAGGTTGAGAGTACCCTTGTTATGTGGTGAATTGGTGATAAGTGATTGTTAAGGTCAGCAATAATGTTTGTAGTTGAGTTGTTTTTTTGCTTATGACTGACTGAAGGTGAAATGGTGACGGTAAAAATGAAAGTGCAATCAAGCCCTAATTATGGGTTTTGGTGATAATGACCACGCAATTAGAGAACTAATGAGATTTATCGAGATGATAAGCAGGGAATTTATATTCGAGGATGCTACATGAAACGGAAAAGCCCCCAATTATAAATGTTGATGGCTTTAAACTCAAAGGAGGTTTAAATTTTTTTGTATTTTAAATTTGAGTATAGGAAAAGCCGTACTATAAAGGGGGACACAATGCTTAAGCTAACATGTGCTACCAAATGCTCAAACATACACATGCATTCTTAGATTCACAGCCTAAGACAGTCTACACTTCACTTTTACCCTTGCTGTCTTGCGTGGTGCAGCACTGCCGCACTTAAAGAGAGGCACTACCGTAGTACGACACTGCCGCACTTGAGACGCGGCACTACTGCGTGACTTAAGTGACCGTTGGGGGCTGGGGGTATTTATACCCTTCTCCTTCCTCCCCAATGGCTCTCTGCCTCTTCTTCTCAATCTAGCTCATCCAAAATAGAAAGGAGCCTCTCTCTCTCTTCCTCCATTAGTGACCTTAAGCCCTCAAGCAAATCCATTGATTTCCCCATCAATCCTTGAGAGAAAAGGGTCCAAAACTCGATTAGAGAGTAGCTCCATTGATTCCTTAACTCAAAAGAGCACTTGGTTCACGTTTTGGCCAGTGGTTGTGTTTGTTACTCTTGGAGCTTGGCTCCTAGCTAGCTAGAGCGTCGCCCGTGGAGCTTGTCAACTTGTGTGGCAGCCCCGGGAGGTTTGTAACTATCTCTTGAAGCTAGTAAACTCACCCCTCATCTCAAGAGTTAAGTCTCTTGACTTGAGAATGATGAAGGGTTGGAAAGCCCTAAGCCTTAGTGGCTAACCTCAACAACGTGGACGTAGGCAAGCCTTGGTGGCGAGCCGAACCACATGATAAATCATTGTGTCTCTTGTTGTCGGGTATTGATAATAGGGATACCCAAAGCAAGGAAGTTAGCGTCCACGCTGACTTCCCCGGATGGAGCAAGACATATTAAAAAGTCTCGCCTGACCCCAAGGCCGCGGGGGTCTCGCCTAAGGCTGCGGGCTCCATCTCGCCCGACCCCAAGGCCGTAGGCTCTATCTCGCCCGACCCCTTGGGTTCATGCTCTGTCTCGCCCGACCCCAAGGACGCGGGCTCCGTCTTGTCCGACGGGGACCCATACCGCTGCCAACCACTCCAGGTCTAAGCGTATGGTCCTAGGTCAAAACTCTGACACCAGGGAAGAGACTGGCATGACTTGATATAACCCATGGCCGTGACGGGCCATACCTGAGGATTCATCTCAAGAACAGCATTGGGCGTGCCGGTGCTGTTCTGCCTAACCCTCGTACGAACGCTGACAGGCGTGTCAGTTCACCACGACATCCGTCGGGATGGAATGGAACGCCATGACTGGCAAATGACACCTACGCATGACGCCAGTGGCGAACAGGGCCATGATGTGGAGCCATCCTGTTGACATCTACAGGATCGGTGGGACCCGCATGAAGGAGAAGAAGGACCTGGTGATCCTGGAAGCCTTCTTCTCTCTCTCGTTCTTCTCCTTTTCCTCTGCTGTAACCCGCGCTTTCCCTTGGCCTATAAAAGGGGAAGCAGGGCATCCCATGAAGGGGGATCGAGATCCGCACGAGGACCCAAACTACGAGATAAACACACAAGAGCACAACATGAGCACACGACTGAGCAGCAATCGAGCTCTCAGCATTCGTTCACTCCTTCCACTAGAGACTTGGGATCCTTTCTCTCTCTCACCCATTTGTAACCCCTACTGCAAACCAAGTGTCGGTAACACGAGCAATAGTAAACTAGATGTAGGGATGTTCCGCCCGAACTAGTATAAACCCCTGTGTCCTCCGAGCACACCATCCGAGCCAGACGCGTAAATACAAATTTACTCGTCGGTAGTCTAAAAGCACCAATAGTTGGCATGCTAGGTAGGGGCTTTTTGCGTGTCTCAACGTCCACATCAGGCCTCAGATGGCTAATC